CTTGCACTTGAACTTGTCTTGAAGCTTCAGCATCACCTCCTTCACAAGGTCAAAAGAGGGTGAGAAAATGAGGATGTCATCCACATAAACCACCATGAAACTCTTCTGCTCCCCCTCGCCAAGCATGAACAAGGAGTGATCGGCCGTTGAGGGAGTGAAGCCGATCCCCTCCAACACTTCGCGCAGCTTCATGTACCATTGCCTAGGGGCCTGCTTCAGCCCATAGAGGGCCTTCTTCAGCTTCCACACTCTGCCACTACCATCATCAAACCCCTCTGGCTGCGCCATAAAAATCTCCTCCTCAAGGATGCCGTTAAGGAATGCCGTTACGATGTCCATTTGCTTTACTACCCATCCTTTGATGGCGGCTCCCGCGAATAGGGTTCGCAGCGTCGTCGGCTTCACCACAGGGGCAAACAGCTCCTTGAAGTCCACCTTCTCCTTCTGCTGGTACCCCTTGGCTACAAGCCTAGACTTGTAGCGCTCGATCTTGCCGTCGGCATCCGACTTGATTTTGAAGAGCCACTTGGACGTTATCGCCGTACGCCCCTCCGGTAGCTCCACCAATTCAAACGTGTCATTCTCCTCGATGCTCTTCAGCTCACTCTCCATGGCCTTCTTCCACTCCTCAGCATCACTACTCTCCAAAGCCTCCTTGAGAGTTGCTGGTTCTCCCGGCATCTCCACCGGAGAGAAGAACGCGAAGGCACACTCCTCGTAGTCACTCTCCTCGTCGTCTCCGACCATCATTGCCGCTCCGGCCAGGGCTGTCTTGCCCTGCTTTCCTGGCGCATCATAGGTCAGCCTATTAGGGGGTTGAACTCTCCTCTTCCCCCTTCCTTCCTCCTCAGCTGCAGAGACTTGAGGGCCTTGGCGTTGCTGCGGTGTGGCTCGAATCCGTGGAGCACTCGTAGTACGGGAAGGGAGTGACGGTGCACGCTCGCTCACTTGCTGCACCTCCTCCTCTTCTTCCTCTGCATCATTGGCCTCCTCTCCCCCATTCACAAGGGAGGATTGCCTTGTGGTTGTGCTGCCGCTGCTCAGCTCCAAAGGCAGCTCCACATGCTCCAAACCGGAACTCTTCACCTCCCCAAACCGCACGCCTATCTTCGCCTCATTCTCCGTCTTCCAATCCTTGTACATGAAGTTCTCCATGAACTTGCAGTCCCTGCTCACCAAGAACTTCTTGGTGAATGGGTCCCAAAGAAGCCATCCCTTGCTGTTTTGAGCCATGCCCAAGTGCACGGCCCACACCGCCTTGGCACCAAGCTTGTTGTGCCGAAGATGCTTAGGCACGAGCGCCATGCACATGCACCCGAACACCCGAAGCATATCCACCTTTGGCTTCCTTCCTAGCCACTCCACATAGGGCACCCATTTGTCTGCTCCCACATGAGTCAAGGCTCTGTTCTTGGCCACACACGCGCTCCGCACCGCATCAGGCCAGAAATAGTCGGGTAGCCCGGCTTCAATGAGCAACCCGCGTGCCGCCTCCGTGATTGTGCGGTTCGCTCGCTCGGCGATGCCGTTCATTGCAGGGGAGTATGGCATGGTGAGGGAGTGCCGAATACCATTCTTCTTCAGCCACAACCCAAACTCCTTGCTCAGGAACTCTCCCCCTCGATCGGTGCGGATTGCCTTCACTAGCCGGTCTTGTTGCCGCTCCACCATCGGCAACCAATCGGTCTTCACCGTTTCAGCCACGTCACTCTTCTTGGACAGCACGTACACCCAAGTCATGCGAGTGTAGACGTCCACAATGGTGAGAAAGTACTCAGCTCCAGCAGCTCCAAGCTTCAGGGGGCCCACCACGTCCATCACCACCTCATCAAGTGGTGCCTTAGCCGTTGCCTCCGAACTAGAGAACGGGAAACGGGTGAACTTGGCTTGCATGCACGTCGGGCAGCCAAGTACCTCATCGGGCTCCCCCTTCACACGTATGCCAGCAACCATCTCATTCTTCACTAGCTGCTGCAAGATGGGCAGGGCCACATGCCCCATTCGCCGATGCAAGGTGAGCCAATCACACTCCCCCGTAGCCGAAGTCGGATTGGAGAATGCCGCGCTCGCAATAGCGCCCCACATACTCTCTCCGTAGTCCTCCTCCGCTGCTGCCTCTGGGTTCTCCTCACCCTTTTGCTGCTCCTTGGTTGCTGCACCACTCTCCTTAGGTTCACTGAACTTGCTGGTCCCTCCAGGTTTGCTCTTCTTGAGCTCATTCTCCTTAGCGCGACCGTTCGCGCCATCGTCGCTACCGACCGCTCCATCCTTGGTGCTGATGCTTGCTGCCACTTGCCTCTCCTTAGGCATAGGGACCACTGGGATCTGCCACATCTCGTTGTAGACATCCCTGTCCTCATGAAGGTCCCAAAGAATTCGATCGCCAAGCCTTGCGGTGTAGGTCTTGGCTCCCTTCGAGTTCGTGTCCATGCCGGCCTTTGCCAACCGCCGCACGGAAATCAGGTTTGCAGCAAGGCTGGGCACCCAAAGCACGTTCTTGAGGCCCACCATCTTCCCATCAGCACCCTTGAACATGGCCTTGCCCATGCCTTTCACCTCTGCTCGCTGCCCCAAAGCCGATGTGACATGCTTCACCGGTGACGGCTCGAGTTCGGTGAGCAAGTCCGGGCGAGGTGTCATGCTATAGGTAGCGCCACTATCAATCACCCAATAGTCCAGGGGGTGTAGGGTCACCTTCCCCACAGCTGCTGGCTCCTCAAAGCCTTCATCCTTCTCTGGACCAGCCGGTACTTGCGTCGACACGAAGTAGAATAGACCCGGGTATCGATCGTCGCTCGGGTCCTTGTCGTTGTCTCCGCTCTTCATGTTTGCAGCTCCGCCACCGCGACCGCCACGGCCTCCACGGCCTCGTCCTCTCCCTCCTCCTGCTCCTCTACCCTCTTGGCCTTGAGCAGGGGTCCAACCATCAGGGAGTTTGTAGCAGTCGCGCCACATGTGTCCGCTCTTGTGGCAATAGTGACACTCGCCGTCGAATCGGCCGCGACCGCGTCCGTAGCTCTTGTCGTCGCTGCCGTAACCGCCACTCCTGCGGCCTCCGCCGAAGTTGCTGCCACCAAACCTTCCTCCCCCTCGTCCTCTGCCTCTTCCTCGACCATATCCACGGCCGATGCTCGCTGCCCCAGCGCCATCCGCACTCGCCAACTCACGGCGGCGGAAATCCTCTTGAAGGATAGCTCGCTTCACGTCTTCAAGCGAGAGGCGGGGCAAGTCGCGATTAAGGTTGATGATGAGCGAGGACCATGACTCTGGGAGTAAGGCCAGCAACTTGGTCTTCTTTTGGAGCTCACTGTAGTTCAAATCAGCTCCCTCAAGCCGCGTCAACAAGTCGAAGAATTTCTGCACCCCTTCTTCAACCGCTTCGTCTTCTTCAATTCGTAGTGCCGCCATTTGCCGTTCCAACACCACCGCTACCGCCGCTGTTGCAGGAGCATGTACACCCTTGAGAGCAGCCCATGCCTTTGGTCCTTTCTCTGGTTCACGCTGGAATGGCTTGATGTGACGGATCTGACTGCTCCCCAACGCTTGCCCAAGTAAGAGATAGCCTTGTGCGCTCTTCCGCACCCACGGGCTCTTCTCCGGGTCGTTCTCGGGGCGCTTCTCCGTTCCTTCCATCACCTCCAGCAGGTCATAGTGGTCAAAGATGTTCTCCATCTTGAAGGACCATTCAGCAAAGTTGTCACCGTTGAACTTGTCAAGCCCAAACACCCTAGGCTCATCCCTAGGTGGGCCAAGACTTGGTTGCATGGGCGCCATGGCTGAATCACGGGGTTGGCCTTGAGCTTGAGCTTCTCCACTGCCACCAGCACCTCTGCCACCCCTTTCCTCAGGTCCAGACATTGTCGAAACTGCTCCAAGGGCTCTGATACCACTTGTTATAGTCACAATAGGCTTGAATGTGCCTAAAACGAAAGATAGAGAGCACAGACGGATTTCTGCACAGCGGCTTCAAACGTTGATAGCGTTCTGCTCACAGCTGCAAATGACCTGATTCAAATTGGATCTGGAGCGTCATCACGTCGTCTACAATTAGCAATTTAGATTGCACGATTTGATAAAGAATTGACGACACAGCGTCGGTTTGAACGAACGGTACTATGGCAGCCACTATAGTCTTAAAACACAAGATAGGAAGAGTTACGAGTTGGGAATGACTCCCAGCTCCTACAAACCCCAAGAGCCGAGGTACAGTGATGTGGAACAGTGCCACACTGTCCCCAACCACGAAGGGTCTCGAAACTACCCTTCACTAGGGCCTACACCAAGTGAAATGTTACACTACACAAAGTAATGTAACTATCTTCAATATCTTGAGGTGTACCCTTTTGGCAAGCTTCGAAATCACTTGAGGCTTGACACCAAGGCTCGGGCTCTTCATCACAAACTCATCCTTGAGTTCTTGATGGGTCTGCTGCACACACCTGCGACACGCCGAACGTTCGACACAGGACAAAATAGAAACCGCGCACGACAAAATAGAAACCGCGCGCGAGACACAAACGACCGCGTAACACGCGTCTAGCGATAACTCGCTATTGACTCGACACACACACTCGACATCATGACTCAACATTCACACACAATTATAAGCATGAAATATATATTATCCCATGCCCTCATACCATTCCATACACACACACATTCACGCACACGGACAACAAGCCGAGTGCAAACCGTAGGGTTGCACCAACAGCAGCTGCATGGTACGACTTGACAGTTAGCACGAGGACAAGCATGATAGCATGTAAGAACATGCAAGGAAGAGCAGTTACCATTGATACGGTGAACCCTCCCCAAGGTAAGATTCCACTTCCCTATGTTGTTATGCCGCTCCGAAGTGAAAGCATCATGACTGACATCATAGTGCTGTTCACCGCAGAGCAGGCAAGACAGCGCAGGGAAGTGGACCAAAAAGCGACGGCCGATCTCCAAGGGATCCTCGAACACATGGCGCCAGCGGTATCTGTCGCCAGGATGAGGGATCACAAGTCCCTTGACGACATCTGTATCAGCTCCAGTGACGGGGTGCAGAACGCGGTGGAAGCAGACTCCGTCTTTGAAAGCCGACTGCCGCCGATTACGCAGCTGGTAGACCACCATTAGCTCCCGCAGCATCTCCGGAGTTTTCGTCGCAGGTACGTCTCGAATCACCACCTCAATCGCCAGCTTGTTCGTCGCACGTTCACGCACAAAAGCAGGATCGTCAGTGTGTTGCCAGTAGAGACGGAAGACCGTGCCGTTAGGACGCGTGTAATCCACCTCCTTGGATCTGATGCTCATAATATCTTCCTCGCGCAGGAGAGAGACCTGCAGGCGACTGTAACGGGTCTTCGCCACGTACGCCGGCAGGAGCTCCTGGAACTTCGCCGAGTCAACGGCGCCAACAGAGAGCGTAGACGACCAGACGCGCCGCATCAGAGTCCGCACCGTGGTGATGACGGAAGCGACCTCCAGGGCGAGAGCCACGGGTATCAGCAGAATCGCAGTGTAGCGAACACGGTTGAACGCTTCCGTCTTGACTTCGACTTCGAGCTCCTCGTCAGAATCATCTTCAATGAAGCCGCTGTCAGGAGTCGTTGTACGAAGAGAGCCCAGCTTCTCCTCCAGGGAGAGACCGGATCCACTTGCTGGAGCATCAGTAAGAGGTACATTTACTGACTCCTCAGTAACCTTGCCCTTGCCTTTGCCAGCAGGGTCAGAAGAAGCAGGAGCAGGCGACGAGGCTGGCGCATCCAGTGAAGACGAGGGAGCTTCCAGCGACGAGGCTTCTGACACAGCCTTGGACTTCCCCTTAGGAGCCATGGTGCAATGATGAGCAGGAAGAGGCTGGATAGCTTGAAAGCAGACCGCAGATGTCTGAACTGATACCTTAGCTCTGAGCACAGACGTGTTAAATAGCTGAGATCCAGAAGCGTTGGACCAGTGTTCTTGGTGTTGGTGGTGAGAAACCGAGGTCGATGCCTCGGGATCAGGGTCAGTAATAGACTTAATGAGGGTGTCGTAGCCATTGTTAAACCACTTGCTGCGTAAAAACCGAAAATGAGGCCTTGGAGTTAGCAGCAAACCAAAAGGAACCTTGAAGTTAGTTGCCTGACAAGAAATCGGTTCCCGGTTGCCGAAAGATACAATGCCCGACGTGTAGGCATAATAGTCGTATCGATCGTTGCGCCTTGTAACGAGGAATCCGAATCTGAAGTCCTTAAAGCCAACTGACACGGAACCTTCACGAGATCTAGGTTTGTAACTGCGCGACAATATCCATGGCGGCCTTGTCATTTCGAGGCAGTCAAAGCTGGTCTGTGTGATGCACTGGTTTTTTACTGAGAATATTCAAATATTCTCGCCGCCTTCTGCGGCAACCAATACGAATCCAGATAACACGTTACAAGGTGGGAACCAATCTGACTTACTTTTGCTGAAGTTTCACAATTTTTCGCTGCCCGCTTCGACAACCAATAGGACTCCAGAGAACGCGTTAAAAGTTTGGAACCAGGATTGGTCTCACTATTTTTTTTTTTGACGGGTTTCAGAATGGCTTTGTGGGTTTCAGAGGGTTTAGACGTAGTTACAGTACGGTGGCAGATTTGCTTTTGGCCTTTGACCATTCGTCGTCTTCACTATACCGCGTTTATTCCTTGGAGTTGAATTATTGATAAAATATTATCAGGTGTATCGTGATTAACCACTTTGTATCGTACCTAAATCCCAGATTTCACATCCTTTTGCTTGGTTCTCTTCAACAGCCATGCCAGAGTTTGTTTGCGGCGGTACGAGAACAGCGTGAGTGACGCAAAAAGTCAACCACATTTCTCGGCGGTACGCGTCCATGCAATCGAACTCTTCCCAGCTATATATCCCACAGCCGAACATACTCTAACCATCATCGTCTCAATTCCACATTTACTCCTCAGTTCTCAGTCTATCCCATTGACAACTTTGTCAATCACCTCACGTCGCAATGGCTCGCTCTGCTCTCCCCGTCGGCATCGCACTCTTCCTCGCTGCATTCCTGGTGCTCTCATGCGTCTCGTACGCCCAAGGTACGGCCCGTACCACCTCGAAACCCAAGCCATATCCCTGGCGCCGCGTTCACGCATTGCGCCGTCACATTCGCCTCCCCTGCGGGCCAACCGCTCCGACGCGCCACACTTGGTTCGATGCGGTTATACACGCAATTGCTCGGTTTAAACGCCTCGAGCTGTGGCAGCTCAAGAGCAGCTTTGTAAAAGCATATTCGCATTCGCTTGTACGCGGCACTTGCTTCGCTCTGCCTGACTCGTCATTCCCCCCTGCATCGACTACGCCTTTCATCCCCTCTTACCCCTCCCCTCAATCGTGAATCCCCTCTATCCGCCCCTCACTCCCTCCTGCCTCTATCTCCTCTCAGTCTGACCACACATCCCATCTCACTCTGCCTAGGCCTCCTCCACTTAACGTCCTCTCTGCCCCTCACTCCTCTCACTCCCCTTAACCTGCCCCTACCCTACTAGCAACGAGCGAGGCGACAGGCGTCGTCACAGCAGAAGACGTGGCGAGAACCACCCAGCCGAGCGAAGCCCGCGAGCAGCGCCACCGCAAGCTCCAGACCACATCTGATAGTACGTGTCATGTGACTAACCCAGTCTACCATACACGATCCAAACTCGAAATGAGCAAATGGTTCCTCTCTCGTTCTCCCTCAGTGCACTCTATCCGGAATTCTGGATAGCTCTTTTTCTCGGAATGTTTCTGCTTCTCCATAGGAAATTCCTTTGTGCCGTGGGATCCAGAATGGTGAGGCGGCAGCCTACTTTGCTGCCGCGTATTACCCAACTAGACCTAGATATTCACTTCTCAAATTTCCTATCCTGCCTGCTGCACTTCTAACCCGTCCCTCACATCACCTTGATCAACAGACACCGCATGCAGGATTGTGTACGCGAAGGGCGCGACCTACTGCCCCAGCCGCTGGAAGGGAAACATGCTGGCCATAGCCAAGTGCACTAACGAGCTTAATACACAGCGTGCGGCGTGTGGTCTCCAGCTATTGGTATGTCACATGCATGGTGAACGGGCTGTCATGTGGATCCTTCCCTCGCTTTGCACTGTCGCTCTCACATGCCATGTGATCTGGCTTGTCACTCACACATGCCACGTGACCTGGTTTCTCACTCTCACACGCCATGTGATCTGGTTCTCACTCTCACATAAAAGCTCGTCACAAGCCAGATGTTCCTTCCAGCCCCGTCGCAGCTAGACCACTACCACACCCCTGCTCTGTGCGTATTCTGTTGGGATTGCCTTGCTCTCTTCCCTTGCCCCCCTCAGCGATATTGAAGGCCAGCAAGGTCGGAATCCCAAATTGCGATTTTGAAGCCAGTGTGGGGATCTACTCAAGAAAGATACTGCTTTGTGGGATGAGAGGTTGTCGGATACTTCTTTGGTGTAGTTGTTAGAGACTTGACGGTGTATTTTATGGGGTAGATGGGTGATTAGGAGGGGGGACACCTGTGGGTTTTGTGCTTGAATGTGTATTTGCTGTTTTGGAAACGCTGATAAGGCATCTCTGCTATTCTGTAAACCACCGAGTATTCAAATGGTATAAAAAGTTGGCTTGGAATTTGTGAGGGATAGAACAAAACGACAATAATGTCTGCTGCTTGTCTAGACCAGTTGAGGACTCGCTGCTGTTTAGTCTTATCTCCTAGGCCGTTGACGTTAAGGCCCGTGAAACTGATGAGGCTTTTTTTACTCATTTGATAACAGCTTGAAAACCCCTACGCATCCACAGGGTAAAGAAAAGAACGGCACCAACTACTGCAAGGACTACTGCTGCTGCTGCTGTGTGCTGACCGAGCTGCTCTTCCCTTAGAGCCCATACTCCTTCTTCGTGACATTGAGGCTTGCACGCTCGAGTGAGACACGTGTCGCAGATCCGAGCTTCTCCAGGTGAATGAGGTGGTTCGCAGAGGTGACATGATCTGCTGCAGTCATGAAGCTTTTCCCCTTCGCCTTCCCACAGCCCACTTGCGTGCAGATCCACTCTTCCCGATTCCCTCCGGTGGAGATCAACACCATGGCCGGATCCAGCAGGATGGGGGTTATCAGCGGCGAGGCCGGAAGGGACGCAGCTGTTATAGTCACAATAGGCTTGAATGTGCCTAAAACGAAAGATAGAGAGCACAGACGGATTTCTGCACAGCGGCTTCAAACGTTGATAGCGTTCTGCTCACAGCTGCAAATGACCTGATTCAAATTGGATCTGGAGCGTCTTCACGTCGTCTACAATTAGCAATTTAGATTGCACGATTTGATAAAGAATTGACGACACAGCGTCGGTTTGAACGAACGGTACTATGGCAGCCACTATAGTCTTAGAACACAAGATAGGAAGAGTTACGAGTTGGGAATGACTCCCAGCTCCTACAAACCCCAAGAGCCGAGGTACAGTGATGTGGAACAGTGCCACACTGTCCCCAACCACGAAGGGTCTCGAAACTACCCTTCACTAGGGCCTACACCAAGTGAAATGTTACACTACACAAAGTAATGTAACTATCTTCAATATCTTGAGGTGTACCCTTTTGGCAAGCTTCGAAATCACTTGAGGCTTGACACCAAGGCTCGGGCTCTTCATCACAAACTCATCCTTGAGTTCTTGATGGGTCTGCTGCACACACCTGCGACACGCCGAACGTTCGACACAGGACAAAATAGAAACCGCGCACGACAAAATAGAAACCGCGCGCGAGACACAAACGACCGCGTAACACGCGTCTAGCGATAACTCGCTATTGACTCGACACACACACTCGACATCATGACTCAACATTCACACACAATTATAAGCATGAAATATATATTATCCCATGCCCTCATACCATTCCATACACACACACATTCACGCACACGGACAACAAGCCGAGTGCAAACCGTAGGGTTGCACCAACAAACTCCCCCTCGGATTGTTGGCCTTAGGATATGTTGCTCTCTCAGTTCAGAGCCATCCCAGCCAGCTTGCAACACTTCCAATGCTGCTGCTCCACCAGCCTCTTGGTCATCATGTCAGCCGGCTGCCCCGTGGTCTTCACGTAGCGCAACTCAACTTCACCCGCGGTTACCATGCTCCTCGTCCAATGCCACTTCACCCTCATGTGCTTCGTGAGTCCATGCAACACAGGGTTCTTAGCAAGAGCAATGGCACCCTGGCTGTCATAGTAGAGTGGGGTAGGTCCTTGCTGCTCCCTCTTTTGGAAGGGGGAGCAATTCGCGCAAGGTGTTCTCAACGGAGATATCTACCAACTCAAGACGTACCCGAGAGCGGCTTCATCCAACGTGGCGCAAGGGTCCAAGGCCACTCTCAAGGCGTGGCATAATCGGCTTGCGCATGCCAACTACGACTCGGTCAAGGAGTTGGCCAACAAAGGACTTGCGAAGGGAGTCGACGTGATCGCCGGCGACGACGAGAAGGGCGTGTGCGCGGCGTGTGTCGAAGGAAAAATGGCTCGCAAGCCATTTGGTAACCGAACGTCACCCCTCGCTAAGGACCCGCTTGCGCTTGTTCACATGGACGTGTGTGGACCGATGCGGCATGCATCAAAGGGAGGAGCGCGGTTCCTCTTAGTGATGCTCGACGATGCGACGCGGATGTGTTGGACCCGGCTCTTGAAGGCAAAGGGCGATGCGGCCAAGGCGATTCAAGATTGGGCGCTCGAAGTTTGTGACGACAAGAAGCGGATCAAGTGTATTCGTACCGACGGTGGGGGCGAATTCGTGAACGCGGAGCTTGAGAAATGGATGAAGAGCAAGGGCATCAAGCATGATGTCACAACACCCTACACACCCCAACAAAATGGAGCGGCGGAGCGGCTTAATCGCACGTTGGTAGAAGCCGTTCGTTCTCTTCTTCAACACTCCAAGCTTGGGAGCGAGTGGTGGGGTGAGGCGAGTTCGCTAGCGGCGTGGATTCGCAACCGTTTGCCGACGAAGGTGCTACCGGGAATGACTCCGTTCGAAGCATGGACCGGAACGAAGCCAAACCTTTCCCTCCTACGCACCTTCGGATGTCTTTGCTACTACCATGTACCGGATCCTCATCGACACAAGTTGCAACCGAAGGCTCGTGCGGCGATCTTCTTGGGAATTGCGGCGAACGAGCGTGCATGGCGAGTGTGGGACTTGCGGGAAAAACGCGTCGTCACGTCTCGGGACGTGGTCTTCGATGAAGACAAGTTCCCGTCAAAGGAAAAACTCACTCAACAACTCACCTTCATCCTTCCGCCACGAGAGGAGGTTGAAGAGAGTGAGGTTCCATCTCAAGTGGAGAAAGAAGACGAAAATGGAGGGGGAGAGAACAACGAGGAGAGCGTTGATGATGTCGTGGAGGTGACACCAACCGAGACGGCAACTACCTCCACACCTTCCTCCCTACCATTGGCCTTGGCTCGCGAGCGTCGTGGGGTTCGTCCTCCCTCCAAGTACAACGACTACGCTACAGTAGCCGTTGGGGAGACGGATAAAGGGGGCGCGGCATTTTGCTTCGCGACGAAGGGTGATGATGAACACGCGGAATCTCTCATGGAACCACCCCCTAAAGATTCATCACGTGCATGCTATGAGCATGTTGGTTTGCACACCTAGTGGGTTGGGTGCAAGGGGGAGTGTTGGAGGTTGAGTGTGTTGGAAGCAAGGTGGTGGTGGGGCGATTGATATGCCCCCAACCCACCGAATGTGTTTCTGTGCTCACCGTTTGAGTGAGCTGCAGGTTTCACGAAGTGTGTGGGTTGACTTCGGAAGACCCACTCGATTCGGTGCCACATGGCAGCACCAGGAACATTCGAGATTGAAGTGACATTCGGTTCGGTGAAATTCGAGTGTCGAATTTCACCCCTTCGAAATGTTACTCGAACATTCGCGAGTGTAGCGGTTCGAGGTTATATGTGCGATTCGACGTTTTGCAGTTCATATAAATGTGTATGCTTTGTATTGCATGGATCATATTGAAAACTTGAATCATCTTGTACAAAGGTGAATTCGAAGTACAAAACCAGAGAGTTCCTATCCTTCAATCTAAGAGTACTACCTAGCACATAAACGGCGATATCTCGCTCAATACTTAGGCGATCGGGGTGATCTACGGCCCGTTGGAAAGCTAAGACAGTGCTCTACTGATTTGAACAACTCCCAGTTCCTGAAAAGTAGAGGAGAGTCCTTTACAACAGTTGAATCCCTGGCGCAACGCGTATGTCTGGTTTTAACTCTCTCTCCGCAATCTCGCCTCCGCTGCAGCCACGGGCTCTCACACACCACATAAATTAGAGCAACTTCAACTACGCTCGTTTGTTCCACTTACAAGGCTGTTGCAGCTCAAGAGCGGCTAGTTCATTCTTGCCCAATCATCCCATGGCAGTCGGCCCAGATCTCGTCCGCTTAACATTCTCTCTGCCCCTCACTCCTTTCACTCCCCTAACCTGCCCTTACCCTACCAGCAACGAGCACGGCGACAGGCGTCATCACAGCAGAGAACGCGGCGACTCGCTGTAGCATCGCCGAGCCCAGCGAAGCCCGCGAGCAGCGCCACCGCAAGCTGCAGCGAGGCGGCCCAGTCTCTCCGGGAGAGAAGACGACGTCTGGTGGTACGATCATGAGACTCATACAGTCTTCCACTACGGTCTAGTACGGTCTAGTACTGATAGTAGTGTCTACTAGTACGGACGATCCAAACGGAAAATGAAAGCTAGGTCCACTCTCGTTTCCCCTCTGTGCGTTCTACCATTCGTTCTTCGAGATGGCTCTTTTTCTCTGAATGTTTGTGCCTTTTCCATGCGGATTCGCTCCATGCCGTGCAATGCAGAATTGTGAGGCGACTGCTTCTATTTTCCAGCAGCAATGAGACTACGCCTGAAGATTCATTTCCCATGTTTCCTCCAATTCCCTATCCTGCCTGCTGCCCCACTGCGCGGTGCCTGTCATCACCAGGCACGCCATGCAGTGTTGTGGCCACGCGGACGGACAGTTCCTGCTCTGGTTTGGTGAGGTGCCTTCAAAGTC